CTGCCGTGCTCCTGTGTGGTCAGCCGTGCTCCTGAGGCGTCTACGGTGCTCTTTTGGGGTTTGCCGTACTCATTTGGGGTCTGCCGTGCTCCTGTGGTCGGCCGTGCTCATTTGGGGTCTGCCGCGCGCCTGTGAGATCTGCCGTGCTCCTGTTGGGGAAACGCCAGCGGCGTTCGGGGTACAACAAAAAGGCGCGTTTTTGTTGTACCCGCGCGCGGTCTGCCGTGCTCCTGTGGGTTCCGCCGTGCTCCTGTGGCGTCTGCCGTGCTACTGTGGCGTCTGCCGGGCTCCTGTGTGGTCTGCCGTGCTCCTTTGTGGTCTGCCGTGCTCCTGTGGAGTCTGCCGTGCTCCTGTGTGGTCTGCCGTGCTCTTGTGGTCTGCCGTGCTCATTTGGGATTTGCCGTGTTCATGTGGGGTCTGCCGTGCTCCTGTGTGGTCTGCCGTGCTCCTGGCGTTTGCCGTGCTCCTGTGGGGTCTGCTGTGCGAACGTGTGGTCTGCCGTGCTCCTGTGGGGGTCTGCCGTGCTCCTGTGGTCTGCCGTGCTCATTTGGGGTCTGCCGTGCTCGTGTGTTGTCTGCCGTGCTCCTGTGGGGTCTGCCGTGTTCCTGTGTGGTCTGCCGTGCTCCTGTGTGGTCTGCCGTGTTCCTGTGTGGCCGTTTCGCTCGGGACGTCCTCAAAAAATCGGCTCCGGAGGGGACTCCGAAGCAGCATTATCTTGGAATCGCTCCCGGAGGGCCTCCAAACAGCCCAAGAAAGCCCCCGAAGGCCCCCCAGAGGACCCCCAGAGCGCCCCAAGAGACCCCCAAGAGGCCCCCAAGGGGCGGCCAGAGGCCCGCCAGAGCGCCCAAAACGCCCCAAGAGACCCCCAAGCAGCCCCCCAGGGGCTCCAAAGAGGCGGCCAGAAGTCCCCCAGAACGCGCGAAAAGGCTCCAGGAGTTCCCTGAGAGCTTCAAAACGCCCCATAGAGCCCCCGAAGGCCCCCCCCGGGACTCCCCCAAGAGGCCCCCGAGAGGCCAGAGGCAACGACAGCCCCAAGAGCGTCCAAGATACCTCCAAGACGGCGCCGAAGCCAGGAAACGCAACAGGGATGTTCTCTGACGTTCTCGCCAATACGGTCTCTGACGCACGTGGTGGATAAAAAACTGCGCTTCCCGTTCTTGTCCGGTCAGGTTGTCATTCCGCTAAAAAAATCTGACCAAGACGCGCCCAAGACGGCCACCAGGGCTCCAAGACGGCCCAAGAGCGCTCCAAGACCGCCCTAGAGCGTTCCAAGATGCCCTAAGATGGCTTCCAGACGGTCCAAGAGAGCTCCAAGACGGCCCAGGAGGCCCTCAAGAGGCCTCCAAGACGCCTCAAGAGGCTTCGAAGGGGCCTCACAAGCGCGCCAAAGAGGCAAACATCTATGATTTTTGAATAGTTTTTGAAGGTTTTTGGGGTTCGCGCCTTTTCCGTTTTCCGACGCTCCAAGACGGCCCAAGAGGCCCCCAAGATCGCCCCAAGACGGCCCAAGAGGCCCCCAAGATCGCCCCAAGACGGCCCAGGAGGCCCCCAAGACGGCCCCAAGAAGGCACCAGAAGGCCCCAAGGCGGCCCCAAGACGGCCCCAAGAGGCTTCGCGGCGGCCTAAGAGGCCGTCAATATGGCTCCTAGAGGGGGCCCAGACGAGGTACACGAACGGACTTTTCGGGTCCTCGGCCCCAAGTGCCCCCCCGGAGGGTCCAGGAGGCCCCCGAGAGCCCCCCAAGACGCTCCAAGAGGCCCTCCAGAGGCCCCAAAAAGGCTCCCAAGAGGCTCCCAAGACGGCCCCCAAAAACAGCCCCCAAGAGGCTTCAGAATTGCTTGTAAGAGGCCTACGAGAGACCGACCACGACATCCCAAGGCTCCATTACGAACGATGACGTGGGCAGCTTCGAACGCCAGAGCTCCCAGTACGAACGCTGGCGTCCAGAGCTTTGACGACAAACACTGCTATGAGCAAAAACGGCGCTTCCCGCTCTTGTGCGGTCAGGTTCCGGAAAATTGCGGAAAAATTCTCACTCCGCTCAAATTATCCCGGCAAAGCAACCTAACAGCGATGTGTAGGAGCATATCTGGAAGCATTCCCCTTAAGATTCAGATGAGAATCCAGTTGTAGAATTGTGCTGTTCTCGCAGTCGTAGTCGCATTCGCGATGACAGTCGCAGTGGCAACGGCAGTCACCGACACAGCCTCAGCCTCAGCCTGCCTCAGCCTCAGCCTCAGCCTGCCTCAGCCTCAGCCTGCCTCAGCCTCAGCCTCAGCCTGCTTCAGCCTCAGCCTCAGTCTGCCTTCAGCCTCGGCCTCAGCCTCAGCCTGCCTCAGCCTCAGCCTGCATCAGCCTCAGCCTCAGCCTCAGCCTCAGCCTCAGCCTCAGCTTGCCTCAGCATCAGCCTTCAGCCTTCAGCCTGCCTCAGCCTCAGCCTCAGCATTCAAAATGTGGCCCGTGGGAATGTTAGTTCTGGGAACTCGAAGAACAACGAAGCGGCCTACAGCTGATCCAGGCATTCAAAATTCATGCGGGGTGGTTTGGGTGGACCAGGAATGGAATTCGGAGGAACTCGAAGAGCACGAAGTGGCCTACAGTTGGCTCCGGGCATTCAAAATGTGGCCCGGGAATGGAGTTCTGGGAACTCGAAGAGCACGAAGTGGCCTACAGTTGGCTCCGGGCATCCAAAATGTAGCCCGGGAATGGAATTCTGGGAACTCGAAGAGCACGAAGTGTGTGACTGTTGCATCCGGCCCTCCAGAATGTGGCCCGGGAATGGAGTTCTGGGAACTCGAAGAGCACGAAGTGTGTGACTGTTGTATCCGGCCCTCCAGAATGTGGCCCGGGAATGGAGTTCTGGGAACTCGAAGAGCACGAAGTGTGTGACTGTTGCATCCGGCCCTCCAGAATGTGGCCCGGGAATGGAGTTCTGGGAACTCGAAGAGCACGAAGTGTGTGACTGTTGGCGAAAAACGAGCCCGGCACCTGCCGCCCGGCAACTCCCAACACCTGCCCGGACCCCCCTGTGGAGTGATCTGTGAGCTTTTTTGAGTCAACTAGAAACCTATCAGTCTTCGCTGTTAGGTAAAAATCTGACCAAGACGCGCCCAAGACGGCCACCAGGGCTCCAAGACGGCCCAAGAGCGCTCCAAGACCGCCCTAGAGCGTTCCAAGATGCCCTAAGATGGCTTCCAGACGGTCCAAGAGAGCTCCAAGACGGCCCAGGAGGCCCTCAAGAGGCCTCCAAGACGCCTCAAGAGGCTTCGAAGAGGCCTCACAAGTGCGCCTACGAGGCACAAATCTATGATTTTTGAATAGTTTTTGAAGGTTTTTGGGGTTCGCGCCTTTTCCGTTTCCCAACGCTCCAAGACGGCCCAAGAGGCCCCCAAGATCGCCCCAAGACGGCCCAAGAGGCCCCCAAGATCGCCCCAAGACGGCCCAGGAGGCCCCCAAGACGGCCCCAACAAGGTACCAGAAGGCCCCAAGGCGGCCCCACGACGGCCCCAAGAGGCTTCGCGGCGGCCCAAGAGGCCGTCAATATGGCTCCTAGAGGGGGCCCAGACGAGGTACACGAACGGACTTTTCGGGTCCTCGGCCCCAAGTGCCCCCCCGGAGGGTCCAGGAGGCCTCCGAGAGCCCCCCAAGACGCTCCAAGAGGCCCCCAAGAGGCCCCAAAAAGGCTCCCAAGAGGCTCCCAAGACGGCCCCAAAAAACAGCCCCCAAGAGGCTCCAGAATTGCTTGTAAGAGGCCTACGAGAGACCGACCACGACATCCCAAGGCTCCATTACGAACGATGACGTGGGCAGCTTCGAACGCCAGAGCTCCCAGTACGAACGCTGGCGTCCAGAGCTTTGACGACAAACACTGCTATGAGCAAAAACGGCGCTTCCCGTTCTTGTGCGGTCAGGTTCCGGAAAATTGAGGAAAAATTGTCACTCCGCTCAAAAAAATCTGACCAAGACGCGCCCAAGACGGCCACCAGGGCTCCAAGACGGCCCAAGAGCGCTCCAAGACCGCCCTAGAGCGTTCCAAGATGCCCTAAGATGGCTTCCAGACGGCTTCGAAGAGGCCTCACAAGTGCGCCTACGAGGCACAAATCTATGATTTTTGAATAGTTTTTGAAGGTTTTTGGGGTTCGCGCCTTTTCCGTTTCCCGACGCTCCAAGACGGCCCAAGAGGCCCCCAAGATCGCCCCAAGACGGCCCAAGAGGCCCCCAAGATCGCTCCAAGACGGCCCAGGAGGCCCCCAAGACGGCCCCAAGAAGGCACCAGAAGGCCCCAAGGCGGCCTCAAGACGGCCCCAAGAGGCTTCGCGGCGGCCCAAGAGGCCGTCAATATGGCTCCTAGAGGGGGCCCAGACGAGGTACACGAACGGACTTTTCGGGTCCTCGGCTCCAAGTGCCCCCCCCCGGAGGGTCCAGGAGGCCCCCGGGAGCCCCCCAAGACGCTCCAAGAGGCCCCAAAAAGGCCCCCAAGATGCCCCTAAGACGGCCCCAAAAAACGGGCCCCAAGAGGCTTCAGAATTGCTTCTAAGAGGCCTACGAGAGACCGACCACGACATCCCAAGGCTCCATTACGAACGATGACGTGGGCAGCTTCGAACGCCAGAGCTCCCAGTACGAACGCTGGCGTCCAGAGCTTTGACGACAAACACTGCTATGAGCAAAAACGGCGCTTCCCGCTCTTGTGCGGTCAGGTTTTTCAGATGGGCGCTGGCCGATGATTCGATCGACAATGAACGCAAACATGGACTACTGCGTGTGGATTTGCCCGGGCCATGCGTCCTCACAACAGAGGCGGCGCGCTCCGTCGCCGAATCAGGCGGCACTGGCCTCATGTTTCGGTGGAATTTTCCCCTGGTCCGTGGATCCGGCGCGCCCGCGCGCCAGATCCACGGATCCCTAATCCATGTTAGCTTCGATCGATTGGAATCACAGGTAGGACGGCGTGGCCAGCATCCTGGGGGAACGCGCCGCTCTTGGCCAGATCCGGGGCCCTGCAGGGGCCCCGAGCCCGCGCGTTCACACCCTGCCCTCGCCCCTGCCGGCAGCGCCAGCGTCGAGCGTTTGCGCCCGCGCGCGAGGCGAGGAGATCTGCTCGTTCCTGCAAGATTGGGGGGATACGGCAGTCGTCCGGGAGTGCGTTTCCCATGGTTAGAAATTGTGTGAAGCGCGATTGTGGCTCATCGAGTGTTGCTTTTTCAAGAAAATCGCGTTTCCCATGATTCGCAGGGTTTCGCGGGCCGAGGCCCCCGCCGATGGCGCTGGGCGGCGCGGCCGCGCCGCACCGCCCGCGCGAGGCCCTCGGGCCCGCGGCGCGGGCCGGGGCGCGCAGCGCGGTGCCGTCTCGGTCGCGGAGCGAGGCGGCGGCCGATCGCGGAGCGAGGCCCCCGCCGATGCGATGCGCGGCGCCTCCCCCCCTGCTGAGATCACCGCTGGGGATGCTAAGGGTGCTGAGGTGGATGCTGAGATCCCCCCGCTGAGGTCCCCCCCTGCTGAGATCGCCTCAGCATCCACGCCTAACCGGGGGGGGCTGGCTTGGCGGGATCTGGCTTGGCCTAGCTCATGAGTGGGCTACAGGTGCCTTGAATGATTCTTAGGCTTACGCCACACCGCCGACCCCTTGTTTATGCCAATCGGGGGGCAGTAGAAGCTGCGAAGGGGTGAAAAGGCGAGTGATATTTGTTTGGTGTCTGTTCGCCGCCACTGCCAGAGGGTCTCGGGCAGTTCCGCGGGGGTGTCCGAGCGGACGGCGACACCGCGGGCGGTCGTGGTCTCATCTGGGGCCATCTGAGAGGCATAATGGAGCCAGGTTGGGCTCGGGAATGTCTTCGAGCCGTTTCGGTAGCGGTCGGGAGTTTTTTTGGGGGACTGTCCAGGAGTCATTATGGGTCAACTTGGCCATGTGCGAGGCCACGGCGCGTGCAAAGGGTGTGCCGGCATGGGGTATACTTGCATGCGAATCTTCCCACTGGGCCCCACGGTGGACGTATTCTGGAGCCACGACACGATCGACGTGTGTGTGCGCTTGGGGTTGGAAGTTTACGGGACCGCGGGTACTGGGGCTATGGTTGGAGCGCGCCGTGGAGCCACGAAATCTATGAGGGACGTGCCCAATGTTCGCGGGGAACCGCGCGTATACTCGGGTTTTGGGGCCTTTCATTCAAGTTGCCGCGTGCGGGGTGTGCCAAATTGGAGGCATGTTCACTAGATGGAAGCGCCACGGCACCTCGATTTCTGCGGGGTCGGCGGATGCTGGACGTAAGTTGTGGATTTCGAAACTGGGGCTGATCCGTTATTGGGCATGCTGGGGTATTCGGAGGAGTGGGAGGAGGAGGATGAGGAGGAGGAGGAGGACGAGTGACGCTGCGAGCGTAAGAGCGGGGCGAAGGAGACGGAGCAGGAGAAGGAGGAAGAGGAGGAAGGGGAGGAGAAGGGGGGATGAGGAGGAGGCGGAGGAATAGGAAATGACATTGAGCTTCTCATTCCTCTCTGGGATTGGCCGCCTGCGTGGGGCCGTCTTGGAAACCTCTTGGCCCGTCTTGGGGCCATCTTGGGCGTCTTGGAGGGGTCGTTTGGCGTCTCGAAGCCTTCGTGGGCCGTCTTGGAGGCCTCTTGGGTGCTTCTTGGCCCGTCTTGAGGCCCTCTTCGACCCGGAAAAGCTCTGGAACCGCTCGTCCCGGCCGTGCTGCGCTCGTCCCGGCTCCCTCCCCCCCTCCAAGTCGGCCCTCTTGGGCCGTCTTGGGGACCTCTTGGGCCGTCTTGGGGCCGTCTTGGGCCGTCTGGAGGCCGTCTTGGGGGCCTCTTGGGCCATTGAGCGTCGGGAAGCCGGAAAGGCGGAAAAACAAAAAACATCGAAAAACACTATGGAAAATCAGCAATTTTAGACTCTTGGGGCGCTCTTGGGAGGCTTGTTTGGGACCTCGGGGGCCGTCTTGGAGACCTCTTGGCCCGTCTTGGG